GTAGGTTTCTGACTGCATATGACATTAAAGAAAAGACCTTAAGCTTAAGTGATACTAAAACTACTAAATAAAGCTTTATTCCTTTTTCCTTACTTGTTTATCTCCTTTTGGACCTTTAAAAAGATATGGATCAGAAGATAGGTCCAGGAAGAGTATCTCTTGGCCTGTACATAAATGTAGTTAGCTATACAAGTCATCATATTTAGCTTCTTATGGAGTGAAGATTAGGATGAGAAAGAAACAATCACCAGTGTTGATTCTTGAAAGAGTAAAGTCAATTATCAATACTTGTAACCCAAATGTTCTAATACCCATTTGCTTCCCTTCAAGGGTAAATTGCAAGAAAGCAGAGTCATTTCGACTGAGAAGTATGTTCCCCCTGTAAGGGAAAAAAATCCAGCATCAACAACCGTACAATATCTAACTGCAACATTAATGGGACTATAATATACCAATGCAAGTCACGGTGTTCAAACTCATATGCAGCTTCAGCCACAGCTAAGCCAATGATAACCTGCAATTAGTGACATATTTCAAGCTAAATAATAAATCTAAAGTTTTCATAAAGAGTACATCTTTTTCCTTATCCCCAAACTTTTTTAAAAATACCCTCTTTGTCTAATCTAAAGGTAGATTTGTTTTTCAGACATTTATTTCTCATTAATGCACGTTCCCAGTACTAGAAGACAACTTGATAGTATACCTGAACCAACAAACTCCGTGCTTCATCAAAATCCTGGAGGACAAAGCTTTCAAGATCTTTACCTCCATGTTGTAAAACAAACACTACATAACACTGAAAGCAAATTCATGAAAATATTAAATAAACTTGAATATAGCATATTTTAATTTGCATGTTATACATCACTCAAGGCAATATCGACCTTGTATTAAATGAAATCTAACAATTTCCATATGATTTTAAAAGTAGGAGGTTTTGGCAAACAGATTATATGTAGTTCTGTGTGCTTGATGCAGTTGAATATATAGAGTCTGAATTGCTAGAG